CTTTGGTTTCTGTAACGATGCGCCTCCTCGTCTATGACTCGTTTAAGACCTGCCACTCTCTTGCGGGAAGAACAAAAAAAAAAAAATGAAGAAGCACAAGCTCATGCCATTCGAACTCCTCTGATAGTGGCATCACACATGCACGGACAATCTATCACCTCGTTTTTTCTGTGCCGGATCCCCTCTCGTCTCCAGTCGATCGCCCCCGTGATCTGGCTCGTTAGTTGGCCGCTCTCCTGCGGGTCTCCGTCGAGTGATCGTATCGTGCCCAGGTTGATGTAAGTGCGAAGCACGTCAATGGACAGGATCTGAGGGTAGCCGTAGTCCATCGTCTCTGTTACTCGTAACACGCACGCCCGGAGTTGAATGGGAGTTAAGGTAAAAAGCTGCTATCGTCGTCGTCGCTTCACATCGAGTCAAGGACACTATTGGCATCTGCAAACCAAGATCACACTCTATCGCTCTGGCCGAACGCAAAACAAGAGCTTTTGTGAAATGCGAGTGAAAAAAACGCCTCTGGGCCAGACTTACTGTAAATCAAATCGGGGGCCTGAAAGACACGCCCGAGAAAAAGAAGAAGAGGGAATCCCGGGTTTGGGACAACGACACCGGTAGCCAATCCAGGGGGGGGGGGGGGGGGGGCGAAACACGGCTGATACGGTAGCGTCAAAACACACAACGTCGAGAGAGGGGAGAGGCACCGGGCGAAGGACACACAAAACAGCTGGTAAAGCGAGGACGAGTATCTATGCAGCCACGACGTTGCTCACGTACGTGCGTGCACACACAGCCGTAGCAGCACGCCCGATTGTTTTTGCTTAACCTCTGTAGACCCTTGCCCTCCTCCTCCTCCTACTCCAAGATTCAATACATCCTCATGGATGCTCGCCCCCCATCCCGTTCCGTTCCATACTACCCTTCTCAGCTCGCCCTCACCGTCCATGAGCTCAAGGATGAGGGTCATGTTGTTGCGGAGAGTGTCCTCGTCGAAATCTCTCTTGAAGTACGCCTTGAAGATCCTGATCTTCTGGTAGAGGAACTCGAACACCATGGCGGGGTTCACGTTGCCCCGCGTGACGGCTACCAGGTATAGGTTGAGGTGTCGCGTGTAGAGGAAGGTGTTGCCGTCCAACTGTGCGATGCCATTTTGTTGCAGTGTCAGTGTCAGTGCCCGTTCGTTCCGTCAAAGAGCACCAATTTTTACCATACGAGCAACCGACAAATAGATAATCAACCGACGACAATACCCAAGGGACACATACATGATTATGGCGAGTGTGGGGTTACATGCATATCAGCACTTTTTTGTCACAACATCGCAAGAGGGATGACGTGCGACAGTATTGTGTGAGCGAGGCACCATGAATGAAGCAATTCCTTCGTCGTGCCTTCTGCATCCTGCCTTCTGCCACCACGCTCTTGGAGGGTCTGAGCCTACAAAGTACCCGCAGGAAGAGGGCTGCTCTGTAGGGGGTTCTGTGCTGGTCCCAACAGTACTCAAGAGATTTTCCTCTTGGTCCGCTTCGGTTGCTTCAAGCCCTAGATCTCCGCACCTGCACTTGTCAGCCTTGGATCCCTTGGAACACATCTCTCTCACACAACCAGCACAAATGAAACGCAAAATCAGAACCGCTCCACGCACGTCCGCCATCAACCCCCTCTCCCTCTCCCTCTCCCTACCCCTCTCCCTACCACCGCAGCAAAAAAACAGCTCTCGTTGCTACATGCTATTCGCAATCGTTTTCGGTCCCCCATTTACAGCAGTACTTCTTGTTCTTGACCTCGTGGTGTTGACGAGGAGACAGAGACAGACTCACCAACATGATGGGCGCCGAAGAACCGGTCTCCTTGGATGCGATGACCTGAAGCCGAAACGCGTCGGCAGCCGCTCTCGTAACATCATCTCTGAAAATCCGACGAAAATCCGACGAAAATCCGACGGAAATCCGACGGCAGTATGTAGCGGTTGGTTGCATCGAGGTTTTAGAAGAAGGAAGCGGGACTGGGTGAGGATCTCTTCGGAATACGTACGGACTAGCCGACTCCAGCTGGGTTCCTGGGGTGGGGGCTGCTGTGATCCCCAAGTTCAGGAGAGATGAAGAAAATACCACGCGCCAGATACTAGGTTCAAGCAGATCGACGGTGGCTCTTCTTGTCTCCTTTGCGTTGGGTGTTTATTCGCTGGCCCTTCGCGTGCCGAACTGCTGTTCAACTATTCGTTGGCTGTTGCTCACGAGGAAACGGACAACGAGAAGTTGAGTTCAATTGAGTCCCCCAACTTCAGCACTGCTGTATCATGTCGGGAGATCGAGCGCCAACGGCTTCGCTACGAGTGCGCACGCCGGGGTGACACCGAAGGTGTCGCAGGGAGACAGCCCGGTACACGATGGCGCAACACCATTAGGTCTGTTTCTTGGGTTGTTTTGTACATCCAGTGGGATGGAGTTGCAAGATGAACCCGCTCTTTTCGGCCGTCATTCGTTCGCATACCAGTACATGTACATCAGAAGTACATACGCATACCATGGGTGATCCTCTCATGACCGGACTCTCTTCAACGCTGGAGGTGACGACGAGTATCAGGTATTCCACACCAGGAAGGCGGTGCACAAAGCATCAAGTTGTCAAGACCTTGGAAACATGTACCTGGTCAGGAGAGATCTCTCCAAAGTCATGGAACACACTACCCTTTCTCCGCATGCCGTATGTAGCATGTACCGGTGTCGTCGGTTCATCCACGACTGGCTTTATTCCACATACCACACCGTGTGGGTAGGGTGTTATCTTCCGTCAACATCAAGAATGCTTTGGCACCGCCTCGTTGTGCCTTCCACCAACTCGTAGATTTCGAGGGTGCATGGTTCGCTACTCGATGTGCAACAGCAGTGGCAGTGCTTAGCCTGTATCTCCCTCCATCCCTCCGTCAGAAGATCATCCGAAGGCCCTCGTTCTAACTGCTTCGGAAGAACACAACCGCCGATGTTGTTTGAGAATTCAGAGAAGTGCGTCCACATCGCGCTTACCTGTAGAATCGGCTGATCACAATCTCGCCCTTGCGGTTTATGATCAGAATTGCCGAGATCATGGCTCCTCAAACCCAGAGACAGACAAACGGACAGAGAGTAGACCCTCTCTCTCCAGTCTATCGCAAAGACCAAGCAAGCTGGTTATTAGCACAGCGTCAAGCAGTTGATCGGTTTCGAGGGGGTTCAGCAAAGGAGATACATCACCCCCCCCATCTCCGCTTGGCATACATAAATTTGCCTGTGCGTGTGACACCCAGAGTCCAGCGCCACCCGGTGTCGGCAGCAGCTTGGCTTGGCCTCACAGGCACACGGGCTCTCTCGATGGCTTCGGCAGCGATGCTAGGGCATTACAGGTGAGAGTGAAGCGCCCTGCGTTCGTGTTTTGGTGGTTTTCGGGAAGGATGGACCGGAGAACATCATCGTCAAAATGCAGTGTGGCGTGTTCTTGGCTACTCTTGGAGTCTGTTGTAAGTGCATTGTTCTGTCTTGTGACTGCTCTCTTGCTGGCGTAGGGCCTACATACCTCTTCCCTTGCGTTCGCTCCCTTCCACATCCGCGTTATGACCGCCACAGCTTCTACTGCTTGAAAATTCACTGGCTGGAAGGTGTTGCAGTGCAAGGTCATGTTGGAATCGAACATAGACTACAGCAGTAGCTCATCCTTATCCGTCGATGCGGCGCAATACCTCTTCCCTATGCATACCTCCCTTTACATCAATTGGGTTTGCTGTGCTGCTATGCTGCTATGCTTCACTGCTGTGCTGCTGCTGTGAAGCTGCGAAGAACATCATCTGCAGACAACAACAGACAAGGCATACAAGCACCGCAAAATTGAAAACCATGCTGACAAGATGCGCCCACCACCCACAGCCCGCGACCAGGGCATCTCGCAACTCTCTCTGAACACGGACCAAAATTGTACGTATGCATGTGAAACGTGAAGCCTCTCGTCGCTTGCTGCCGAAGTGGGACGGCCCAGTGTTCCTTCGTAATTTATTGACTTTGCACTACTGTACCCTTGCTCGTCTCCCGCAACGCCATCTTGCACTCCCGCTTCATCTCCCATAGCGACGACGATAGCGATGGCCAAGAGCGTCCCGCAGCAGCCACCACGGCCGCTGCGGCGGCTGGCAGCGGAGCGCGCATGAAGGAGCTCCTGGCGAGCTACTACGGCATGCAGCAGCAGGAGCGGAGCGGCGCCAACATGTCCTCGGACGTGGAGAGCACCTACTTCGAGGCGAAGCGGTATGTGGCCGGCCTGCTCAAGAATGACAAGGTCGAGACGCTACTAAGGAAGGACGATGAGATGGTGAGGATAACGAGATATTGAGCATGGAGCAGAGCGAAGCAGCAATGTAGAGGTTTCTTCCCAATAGGCGACGGGGGGAAGGGGTATGTGCAGGGAGCGAGATACAATCGGTGTGCATAGACGGAGAGAGAGGGCGAAGAGAAAGGAATAGCCATCGACACGCCGGGTTCACCTTCAGGTTATCCCCTTCTACTTACCCAATCACCGTGAGCTCGTTGTTTCGTTGTTTCCCTCTTTTGCTGTGTGCCGTCTGTATTGTCTTCCGCGACATGATGAACCTCGAGCACCCTCGACGCAAGCGTTAGGGTTTGTATATTGCAGCAAGCAGCCACTTAGATCTCGATTCCCAGACACCACGTAAGTAGACCTTTTGATGAGAGTCGCTCAGCTTCTGAAGTGAAGCTCTTGTCTGCCAGCTAGAGTACGAACGACGCCCTTCCCTGCCTTGGTTTCAGGGGAATAAATAGTTGATACGGGCCGAAATGCCAACTTAGTCCTACAATATGTTCTGACGAGAGCAAATATCCATATCCCGCGCTTGTGCACTATTGCCAGATCTAGAGCCGCAATGCGCCGGTTATGTTGTTTTGGCCCCTCAATCCAGGTCCGAGAGGTGAAGAAGCTCGACTCCGACATGCAGATGCTGGTGTACGAGAACTACAACAAGTTCATCAGCGCCACAGACACCATCCGCAAGATGGCGCAGAACGTGGAGGGCATGGAGACGGAGATGTCGGACCTGAAGAGCAGCATGGAGCGAATCGCGGAGAGCAGCGCAACGGTCAACACGTCCCTCGAGGGTGAGAGCAGGAGAGGGGGAGCGCAGATAGCAGTACGGGGCGTAGGGGCCCCGGAGATGTCTACGAAAACAATCGAAGGGAAAAGTGGGAGGGCAGGGTTAAGGAGAGGGAGAGGAAGATAGAGGAGAGAGCGGCGGGAGGGGGTAGGGGAGCGAGCATGTGGTGTTTTCTTTCATTCGACAAGCATATCCAGGCAGTCCACCTAAAATGTGCAACTTCTGGTGCATATCGCTCCCCTCACTGCCTACCGCTGCAGCCAACTTTCGTCTACCGGTAGCATCTATTCGAATCATGCCTCCTTGCCCCACGCTGCCGTAAACGCGCATCAACCCTACCACGCACACAGGCAACCGGTCGAAGATGGACAAGCTGGTGCGCGTGAGGCGGCTCCTTCAGCGGCTAGACTTCTTGTTTCAGTTGCCGCAAAGGCTGGAAGAGGCCGTCCAAGAGGGGCAGTACGCCAAAGCGATCAGGTATATATTGTTGGCGTTGTGCTTTGGAGGAGGGGTGGTATGGTGTGGTGATTGGACGGGGCAATGGCAGAAGGCGCCTTGCGGGGTAATAGCCCCAAGCAAGGTGGCGTTGTTACTGGTGGAGAGTTGGGGTACGGGCACGGAAAAATCAAGAGAGTGAGCCGGAACGGGTATTGTTTTCCTGCGCAAGATGCGCAAGGCTAGCTGGAGGCAGAAACGCCTTAGCGGGGTGTGGCACGCAAAAGTCGCTGTTCCCGTCAGTGTTAAGGTATGGTTCCCGGAAATTTCTCAGTACAGTATTAGGAGAGTGGCCACAGCAGTACAGGTTTGGCCGTTTCTTTCGGCGAGCACTGCTCTTGTCCTTTGTTCACCCGGTGGCGTGGGGCTCCTCGCAAAATGCGTGAATGGTCGCTGTCCCAAGCCGTCGGACGGAGGTACGAGTTAAACCGCCCGTAGTCGCTCCATTCCCCATCGCCCCTTTCTTCTGCTGCAGCCCTTCTATCCCATCCGCGGCATGATGATGACGTGTGCATCTCCCATGTGCTACAGGTACTTTTCCATGACAAAGGATATTCTACACAAGCACTCGCATGTGTCTTCCTTTGGCGCTATCCAAAGAGACTGCGAGGATACCGTCAGGCGCTTGCAGGATAAGCTCCAGGAGGAGGTCAACAGCTCGGTAGGTTGGTTGTTGATTGTTGGTTGTTGTTGAGATAACAAACATAATTAAATTACATCGCCGAAGGCAATCATGGAGTGAGACACGCACTATTGTAGACAGGAACACACACGCGATTGAATCCAAACAAACTCGTGTTACCCCCCCCCCCCCCCCTATCCTGACAATTAAACCCACCCCCCCCCTCCCCTCCCCACAACCATCAGGACGTCAGCAGAGACACTCTCGTGTCGCACGCCGATCTCCTACTGCAGCTGGGTGTAGATCCGGCGGGACTGAAGGAGCGATACCTCGACGCGCACCGTCGCCAGCTAGAGGCGTTCTTGTTGGCTTCGACGGGAGCTCTGGTGGAGGATAGGTCTGTCAGCCTCGACGCTTGCCTCGGAAAGCTGGCCGAAGGCTTCTTGCCGATGCTGCTAAGGTATGTGGGTGTGCGGTTGTATGCCATTTGGGCGGTCCATGATACCTGGTGCATACAATAACGCTCTCATCGTTCATTGCTATACTAGAACAATCGCAACACTGTTTCCCAGAGTCGGTTGAACTGTGAACATGTGGTATTTGTTTTTTGGCCTTTTATAGGTGGTACCAGGCGTACCGACTCTGTGCCAGATTTTTCTTGTGGTTTTAAGTCGGAGACGGTGACTTTTCGGGCTGGGGATGGTCTCTACGGTGTTAGAAGCACAAGTGCCACACCCTAGCGTTTGGTATCCAATGCCCCTCGCCTCAGTCTTAGTCTCTGTCTTGGTCTTCTCTCCCTGCCTGTACCCCCTTTCTGTTCTGTCTCTCTGCCTCTCTGTCTCTGTCTCTGTCTCTGTCTCTGTCTCGATCTCTATCTCTGTCTGTCTCTCTCTCGGTCTGTCTCTCCGTCTGTCTCTCTCTCTATGTTCCCCTCTCTGCGTACATATGTATCTCTATCTCTGTCCCTCTCTGTCCATCAGAACGGTCCAGCTTTACGACCAGCTCTTCGAGCGTACCGGAGCATTGCCAACACCATCAGCGTCGTCGACTCCAGCACCACCAACCGCAGCACAAGCCCCACCCGAGACAAAGCAGCAAGGGCAGCAGAAGGAGGATGACACTGCTACCACCGCTGTCGCCAAGAAGACGCACACGGGGCTCATCGCCCTGGTCCAGGCTAGCGTAGGCAGGTTCTTCGACCTCTTGTACGCCAAGGTGGATCAGTCCCTCGACGCCAACAGCAGCAACCCCCAACCTCGGTCGCACGTGCCTTCAGAGGCTGGCGCGGGAGCAGCGGGCAAGAAGAGCGAAGGCCGGCAGCAGGGTGGTGGGGGAGAAGGGACCGCAGCGGAAGGAGGAGGGGGAGGAGGGGATCTGGACCCAGTGGCCTTGGGAGGGGTTGTGGCGGCCGTGCAGCAGCTCGTGACCGACATCGAGACCGTCGATCCTCACGTGCCCCAGGTAAGGGAAGGAATCAAAGGGAGAGAAGGGGGGCGAGATAGCCGGGAAAGCAACAGCGCCAGTAGCGGAGACCGCCATCACAACGGCATTCCTCCACGGTAGTAGAGGTACCATGGTTACGCATGGCCAAAGTTTGGATTATGCAGGTGGGAGCGGATGAAAAGAGTGAGGTGTGTCTGTCGATTTTGGTTTCGAAGAAAGAGCGCAGTTTTTCTCTTGTTGGTTTGCTCTAGGTAGCGGTGAAGTTGTTGCACACACACGTACATGCACATGAAGACAGTGCTCTGGCTGGACCTCATGTATCCCCACCCCCAACTTACCACCGAATATTGTTTGGGTGTTTGGACATGTTGTCTCAAACAGGTGCAACTAGCGCGGAGAGCGAAGGAGTTCGCGCAAGAGTTCAAGAGAGGGCAGGTACAGTAGTAGGCCAAGACCAGACAGAGACACCCGGTGTCCTTTGCGGGTACAGTAACGTCGGCTCTTGCTCTTACGTCTCTGCCGGAGACAGCTGGTTTTGTGGCTGTCGTGCCAACTGAGCTGCTGCTGTAGCGTGCATCGAGTTTGATGGTGTGCATTTCTGTTGTAGTTGGTGCGTCTCTTTCCCCAGTTGCATGCACCCGTGCTTGCTTGGAAGTGTACGGGTTCTCGTACTGGTACCGTCTTGTCGACAACATGTTTCCTGACCGCACGCTTACTTCTGTCCCAATACTGTACTTGTCGGAGTACCTGTCGGCATCGACAGTACGACTGTAGCTGCAGAAACCAGCTCTCTCTCTCTTTCTCCCTCTCTCTCTCTGTATGTCTCTCTCGCTTTGTCTGCACGTGTTTTCGGGGAAACGGCACGCGGGGGAAATGTTAACGTGTAAAGCGAGATCGCGACTGCTGCACATCCGTCTCGAGGGCAGCGTATTACAGGTTACGGGTGTCTGCCTCACCCTCTCTCTCTCACTCCCTCTCCCCCCCTCTCTCTTGGGTTTCGATTAGATGTCTCTCCTTGCTTTCTCTCCTCGATGTCTCGCATGCCTTGTGCCTGTCTCTCTTGCTCACCCCCCCCCCAACCCCATCCACGCGACACTCTCACTGACACCCGTCTGCTTTTTCCTTGTCATCGCGACATTCCTTTACCACCAAAGGTCCGGCGGGCTTTCCGAGTGCTCTGCCGCACTTCTCTCTCCGTCACTACCTCGATGGTCAACGCCGTCCGAGCTGGAACTCCTCCTGAAGACGTTCTCGCCGATGGCCTAGACACCGGGCACCCTGGCGCAGCGGGCGGGGGGATGACCGGCGCAAGCGGCAGACACGGTGGTAGCAGCTCGGTCTCTGGAGGGGGTAGAAATAGGCGGGCGGGAGGCAGCGGGGAGGGGGGGCGGTATCCCGCATTGGTGGACCGCGCTCTGGGGACTCTGATGAAGGCGAGACAGACGGACAGACGAGTTATATTCGGTCGGTAGTTGGTCGCACTTTCTGTGTTGCAGACTATGTAGAAGGGAGGTACGACTTCCAACATGACGGGTTTATTTGGTTGGTATGCGGTAACTTGTCCTCGAGATTTTGGAAACATTCGCTTGGGTTTTCATGGTTGAGTGTGGGATTCAATTTTGTTCTGCAGTACATATGTCTTGTCTTCTGTTGCCCACTTGTACCTGACCTGCCTCTGCAACCGCTTCCGCACGTTCTGGTCGTCGTCATTTTCGTCGTTTCGCTTCGTCATTTTCGTCGTTTCGTTTCGTCATTTTCGTCGTTTCGTTTCGTCATTGTCGTCGTTTCGTTTCGTCACGCGTTCCTTTGTTTCGCGTTTTTGGCAGCGAGCGGACGAGATCGTATCGGGCTTGCGGCCCCTGTCGCGCCTCGACTCTTCTCCGGGACCGTTGGCTGAGGAGCTGAGGTTCGGCCTGTGGGGGGTCGTGCTCTGGCTCGCCTCTGCTTTTGGCATCGTTGCGGGTAAGGAGAGCAGACGACAGGAGAGACAGCAGTTCCTCGTGGTGCACCATGCGTGCATGCGGAGATACGTAGGAGGGAGTTTTCTGTTTTCCCTCCGTAGGATCCGGTGTTTGTTTGGGGCACCCAGTAGGTCTTGCACAAGACTTGTGTCGGTATCTCCTGGTTCGACGGTACCCATTGGACGACGCTGAAGCAGACGTCGCGTCTCCACTCTTTGTTCCGTTATGGTGGTCATACCCACGCTGCAATGTTTCTTTTGCTACTGCGAATGCTACTGCAGCGCTATTGTACAATACGTGATCGTTTTGTACGAGTCCACGGGACACTCTCGCCAAACCAAAAGCCAAACATGCAAAAAAAAATGTTTCTTTCTTTTACAACATTCAGGAGTTACCGGCGGTGCGTCGTCCTGCGACAGCCTGCCTCCCGCAGAGGGCCGGGAGTACAACAAAGCTTTGGAGGAGGAGTGGGGAAATCGAGCGGTCTCGGCGCTCAGGGAACCCCTGCCCTCGCCCTCTCCCGACACCAAGGCCGCCGCCGCGGCCGCTGCTGGCACGGCAGCAGCGGAGGAAGAGGCTGCTGTGAGCGGCGATGAGGTCAGAGCGGGGGCTTCGGAGGGGGAGGTTTCGCTCTTGTTGGCGTGCCTGTGCAGGGGCCTGGAGACCACGTTCGTCGTCAGGGTCCCCGAGATATTGGGAAGGTGCGGGCGGGTCAGGTGGTTTCATGGGATGCTAGTTGTGTTTGTGAGTAGAGCGAATGGAACCATTTAGCACAGGTTAGTCATGTTTTGGTGCTTGTGGTGGAGGATGAGATACCCCGTATTTTGGCGATGAAGGCAGTGGTTGGATGGTTGGAATGGTGCTGGACGGTTGTCAAGTTTGCGGCAAACGAGCTAGCAGCTAGCAGCTATCGGCAACACAATCTCTCTCTCTTTCCCTCTGTCTCGCTGCGCGGGCGAAAAGCTGTGGTTGCCGCGGCCTGTCCCCTACCAATGCCCTCTACCCTCCCCTTTCCATTCCGATGCTTGGCCAACAGAAAAACATTACCTTCACTCCCCTCCTCCCCTCCGCGCGATATCACTTCCACCCTCAAACAGGCAAATCCCTCTTACCCTGGACCAGTCTGTGCACGCACTTCCGCCCTCGATGCACTTCACGGGCTCGATTCACTCCACGCGCTCGGTCACGTCTACGCTGAAGTCGGCTGCGACAGAGAAATCTATCGAAGGGGATGATGATGCGGCGGGGGCGGGGGCGGGGGCGGGGGGGCGGGGAGGTCCGGTGCTCGGGCGGCGGCGGCAGCTGGATGCGGTGCGAAACCGAGTGTCCGCGGCGGCGCGTTTCATCCTCGAGTACTACGCGGAGACTACGGGGAGAAGGCTTGCCGATGTGCTACAGGTACATTTAATGGTGTTGGAGGATTGGAAAGGTTCAAACTGTTGTAACTGTTTTTTGTGTTTTTTTTGGCGGGAGAAACCTACAGCAGTAGGAATCGCACGCTGCAGGTGGTCGCTGGTGGGTCTTGCAAAAATGTACAAGTACAACCTGCAGTTGGTGCGTGGGTTTGAGGTGCTGGTGACTGGTGACTGGTACAAAGTCTCTTAAGGGATACCAATGGTACGTGGTGGGTTTGATTTGAGTAGGTCTCCTTATTTTTATTGTGTGTTCTCTGGTCGACGAAGTCGATTTCCACCTGCTTGAAGACTCTTCCGGTAATACTCTTGAGGTAATTACTTATGTATTGTACTGCTGTACCGTTGTTTACACCTGTACAAATGACTTGGCATTGAGTATTCCAACACACTCTCTCTCTTTCTCTCTGTCTATGTTTCTCTCTGTGGTTGACGGTTTCAACACCGCAGGTGGGCCTCGAGGCTCCTCCGGGGGATGCCGGCGATTGGTTCTCGGTCGAAGAGCCCACGGGGGTGGGCGAAGCTGTCCTGGACGCCCTGGAATTGGCAGAGGACAACGTCAAGGTACAGTAACCGTGGGTTGGCAGTCACTCGAGTAACCGAGAGAGCACCCCGTAACTGACTCCGCATGGTGTTGTTTGCGTCTTTTTTTTTTATCGTGTTGCCCTTTCCCCTGTCATGTCTGGCTATACTATACTTCCTAGGGACTCGTCTGTGCTTTCGATATTATTCTCTGCAACTCCCTGCAGTAATCTTTTGATGGGATGGCCTGTTGGAGGTCCTACCGGTCTGAGGCCCTGACGTCAGGCAGAGTGTAATAGCCTTTTAGTCGTGATGAGACGAGGCTCGATAAAGGCGTGCTGCTGTATCTCCGTGGCCTACTTGCCTTGATGTGCATTTGCGTTCCAAAAGCAACCATTCAGCAAGACTTTCGGCTTCTCCTTCCTCCTCTCACGGACCATAGGACCATTGGACCATTGGACCATTGGAAAATTGTTGGGCACCACCCTTATATATTTTGACATTCTTCGGGGACCCCCGATCAACCATCAGAACAATCACCTATAATAGCTCATTTTCATGACAGACGGACGTACGTATATCCCAATGCAATCAATCCCTCTCGTGTACGGTCTTATTTCACGACTCCCAGAGTTGGAGGCATTCCTTAGCGCGTGTGCACGTGCATGTGCCTCATGCCTTAGTCCCTCTCCCTTGTCGAGAACCCTCCGAAGCACAGCGTGTTCTACTTGATGTACATCGAAAAACGCGAAAACATGGAACATTTGTTGGTTCAAACGTTCAGACGCCAACCATCGTTCCTGGTCTCACCCACCACCTTGCGCATATACCACATGTTTTTACCGCCATGCATATCCATCGAACTATTTTTCATCTTGTTGATTTGCAGGAAGTTTGCGCGTTTTTGGGCGAGGCCCGGTCGGGCACTGTGTCGGTAACGAGGTTCGGCGACAGGGACCTGAGGAGAGGCTCGTCCGTCGCATTGCTCTCTGGCACGGGGAGGAACGGGAGGGGTGGGATTGGGGGGGGCGGCGGAGTCCGACGCGATATCGATCGCATTTTTGAGAGCAGCGGGGCCGGCGGCGGTGAGTTTTTCGGTTTTGGTGGCGAAATCGCGGACGAGGAAGACTGATTGGCCTAGCCAAGGGGGTGGGAGATGTTTCTACGCGTCAGGCTGTCGCGGCTGCGGCGATGTATCAGCTCGACAGATGGTGCAGCGCCTTCGAATGAGGGGGGGGTTGGTGTTTTTTTTTTGGTGGCTGAGTGGTATGGATGGTCCCCATGCCCCCCTGACTGGGCCAACGCGACGTAGGCATGCCCCATGCCCCCCCTCTTACGCCTCCTCGCCCCCCTACACATTTTCCGTTATGTATTGTATCGCCGACACGCAGAAGCCGGCAGCATGTCGAAGGAGCCATAGCCAGTAACGTTGCTGTTGTACACTTCAGTTTTTTTTCGGGAGGGTTGGCCATGCTCAAATGTATGGGCTGTTCTTTGTAGTTCGTGGGAAAACGTTTCATCTATAAACTCCCAGAGACATGCGTACCTACTTCCTCTTCTTGCAGCATACTTTGTATACACATCACTCCTCTTACCGGGTTTTTCGACCTAGATGCTCGGACAGCTCGTTGTATCACCTATTATTTAGACGGTACTGCTGTAGTGAACAACTCCTCATAGCCCCCCCCTCCTGCCGACCGGGTTCGCCAACTGAAAGGTATGGGTGCGAGAGGTCCCTTGGGCGGTGCTGTGAAAGTGTCCTTCGCGGCGGACGCGATGCTCGCAGCGGTGTTCCGCGTGGCTCTCAAGGCGTTCGGGGAGCGGGCCCGGTTCCTCACCCTCCCCGGCCCTGCCTTCCGCCAGGTGCAGCTGGACGCCGACTTCCTTCGACAGGTGTGTGGTGTGGTATGGTGTGGTATGGCGCACGCGCTGGGTACACCATTACCATTTGCATAGAATCACGGCCGAATAGTTTTGTTGCCCATGTTGGGCGTGTCGCACCGTCCGGGGTTGAGTGCATACCATGGATAGACCCATGGGTGAGCCTGTGGTTGCGTCGTTGTGCACGGTGACAGGTGAAGCTCGGCTCGCAGGAATCGGGTACAAAATGGGTTGCATGGGAAAATGAAAGTCGAGTTTTTGGAGGCACCGTTTGACTTTACTAGTATCCCGCGTAAGTGCTGTTGTTCCAAGGAAGACACGCGGCGCATGTACACGAAACAAATATCGAACGACCTTCCGCAGACGTGTTGATGATGCATCGATTCGCTGCTTTCCGTTCCTTCACAGCAGTGAGGTAGTGCACCGAAGCCCCTCCTCTGCACCGTCCTCCATCGCACCCTGTGTGGTCGTTTGTCCGTGTCCCTCCTGGCGTGTTGTTGTCCTCATGGCTGTTGCTGTCGCCTCTGCAGGCTCTCCCGTTTTACGTGGCAGAGAGCAACATGTTGTCCGCGTTGGATAACCTTCTAGATCAGGTGGGTGTGAGGAATATGAGTGGTGTAGGTAAATACACAGCAGGTGTTACTTTTGGCGTAAGCGTCAGGGGCCAGAAGCACACATGCACTCACGTGCCTGAACGCCAGTGATCGCAGACGTTAGCGTTTCCGACCGGTGACACAGACGTGTAACGTATAATACCATGTACATTAGAGAGATGCGATTTTTTGTCTCTGCACCATAGAAAAAAATGCAGGAGAGGCGGTGATGGCAACGGGCAACCAGTATCGCTTCATTGTACGTGACTCTGTGTCCCCGCATGTACTACTTCGTGAACTTGCTTGCTTGTTGCGTGTGCGGTGTACGTGCACGATCACGGCAGCTTTCGTGGCAACGCTGTTCGGCGCCATCTTTGGTACGACCCCGGACATGAAATGCCTCCTCGCAACTATTAATAGTCCCGCCGTACGATGTACGACACCAAGGGAGAGCTTGCTTGGAGTTTGTCATCCACTAAACATGCCGGCTGTAAATTTTATCCCAGCCCTACGTTTTCGTCTCCCAGCGATATCTCCGGCCCTTGAAGCGCGCCATTGAACAACTCAACAACTCAACAACTCAACGACTCACAGGATGCCAATTTTCTCCCCGCGTCGTTTGGTGTCGTGTCTGTCTCACTTAGGCGCTTCAAAGCGCAGCGGACCGCTCTCTAGACCCAACTCCGATGGATCCGACTGCAGCTGGAGACATCGTTGCGCATGCCCTGGACGGATTTAACTAGAAGGAAAGCCTCGCATCACGAGATCTACACGTGGCTCTATGCTGCTGCTGCTGCTGCTCCTGCTGTTACTGTTACGGCTACAGCAAGGCACCCCCCTAGGCTTTTCTCCCCATTGATTGTCGGCATGGGGTATGGGGTTGGCGAAATCAGCTGAACTAGACAACTCTCACTGCTGCGTCGAATGTCGGTTTCGTAAGGAAGAGCGGTATTATTGTCCTAACCCCAACCCTCACACACAAACTGGGGCATTTTTTTTGCCCGAGCTTCTCCTTTCATCGTGTCAACTCTTAACGATACTTCAATAAGCGATGCCAGTTTAGGGGACATGGTTGCGCAAGCCTTCGATGGCTGCCAATAGGTACACGGTGGACATGTTTTCCCTTTCGGGTTGATTGCCGGGTTGCAGACGTTGTTTGGCTGTGGAAGCAGCGGTATATCGAGGTAATTGTAGTGGTTGGCGAGCCGTGTTGCAGTGTGTTCGCCTTTACTGGGGTCGGAATGTTTGTTCCTTTGTTGTGAAACCGTTTGCTTTGCGCATCGCTACACTATGCACATGGAGTTCTTGCTTCCGTTTATATGCCGCGCGAAGGTGGTGCTGCTACGCGTGTTTAGTGTCGCTTGCCATTTTTTTGCGGCCGAAAACGGCATGTAGGAGGAGGTTGTATTTGGAGGTTTGGCTGAGACATATAATTGTATGCATGTGCAGGTGATGAAGAGCTATGTTACATTGAAAGAGAGTTTCGAGGTTACGCGATGGACTGCAAAGGCTTGCTCCGGGGAGAGAAGAGCGAGGCAGGCCTCCTCTTTGCAGGTCTCTTCGTGGGAAGGAGGCGTCACCCAGGAACCAAATTGAAGACCGATGAGCTGATTTCCTGGCGTCGCGCCTATTGTACACACACCCAGGCGCTGCGGACCGGGCACGGATTCATCCCAAGTGTGTTGTCCCGATGTGTCGATGTGTGAAATATCCGTACTCGTGTAGACTAAATCACCTTATGCAACTTCGCGGCCAGCGCGAGACAGCTCTCTCTGCATCCCATACGACCATCACGTCGCTGATTGATATCTTGTCCGTCCCGACATCACGCGATGATTTCAAAATTGTGCCGAAACGAAAACTCTGAGCTTGGCCTTTTTTGGATACAGCAGATTCTGGATACACACTGGGTGCCTCCCCTTGAACCGAGGAAGGGTGGTTTGGTGCACCAAACGCGCAAATAGACCTCAATTTAGATCCCGGACCCTCACCCACGGCCAGAGGACGGCATGGTGGCCGAGAACTGAGCGAGAACAAACGTGGCTGTGCCATGGCGCCGCGTTGTCGGAACGCAACAGAGAGAGGGCGCCGGAGAGTGTTAATCTACATAGACCATGTAGACCGCTCGACCAATCAGCGGGCGCAAAAAGCCAACGGTCACGGTCACGATGCACAAGCTGAAAAATACTGCATTTACAACAGATCGCGCCACTCCTACTCCCACGAATCAAACAGCAAAGCGACACCAACTACTACAATCCAAATATATCATCAGTGCAAGACAAGAGGATACGTCTCGTCTCGAGCATGAGATGCTGATGATTGCGCCGCATTTGGTGCGCCGTTGCACGAACCGTTGCACCATGGGCAGATCGGTCGGCAGCGGCAAGTCAACGCCAACTCAGGAGCGGCAGAAACACGGAAGAAGAAGGAGACGGCAGAGATGGAGAGAGACGGCGATGTACGCTCTCTCCCTCGCCAGGATACTCGTGACCACTACTTCGTTGTCGTTGACGGCAACGGCAGCCGGTAAGACTGCGGTGTGCCAATGTGCCAACCTGTACCAAACATGAAACCTACTCGTGACCAGGTAAGCAGTCGTGGGCTACCCAGCTCGAGATACATTGGAACAGCAGGCCACGTGTGTTCGATACGTTGCTCTGTTGCCAACAAGGTCATCTTGGCATTCGTTATTGTTGTTGTTGTTGTCTTTACATTAAGAACCTCTGCCCAGTACCTGCGTACATGTCCATGGTTGTTTCAATTTTCGCTCCAATGGTGATGAGATTTTCCGCTAAAAAAAAAAAAAACACGCGCCACCCCAGACAGCAGTGGAGAACGGAACGGTGTTAAATTTGAAGACGACAACAACAACAACCACAACAACCACAACAACCACAACAACCACCACCACCCCACAGCCCACCCATCAAAGAAAAGGTTCGATCAAGCGTTTTCCTCGGCCTACCCTGCTCAGGCACTGCCGTAGATATGGTGCATGCAAAACACTTGGACCATTTTTACCAGAGATAGGCTACACCCGTACAGCACGCATGATTTGTGTGGGATTCGCAATGGCATGCGGCAAATGATCGAATTAGCCCGGGATCTGGAAACTGGTGACCGTGGTCGCCTCGTTGAGCTATTGTCAATCAATATGTATGCATGTACAAAGATACAAAATATTCTGTCATTTCACTTCGCCAACTTTCTGACCGCCGGCCTTCCCGTGCTTGCATCCTCTCCGCGCAAGATGTTTCCCCGGGCGTGCCCACAGCTTCGGCGGAGCGACACGAGCATGCGCGTGCGGAGCCGAACCCGAAACCGAACGTGTTTTTCATCATGATAGATGACATGGGATGGAATGACATAGGCTACCAGAGCACCGACATGCATGCGGTCACGCCCAACCTGAACAGAATCGCCGAGAGCGGGGTGAAGGTGTGTCGTCGTCCCCGTTGCCATCGTCCGTTCTTGATGCTGCTCCATTTCCGAAGCCGCCCCACACCTCTTCGTTTTCAATGTTCGATTCTTCTTTTTTGGTTTCTGGCCGACCCTTAATCGCTGCAGCTCCCGCACTACAACGCATCGTACACGACGCACCATACCACTTTCGCTACCTCTCCAACCCCGCCCACGCCGGCGGCTCTCGCGGCTCTGCTGTCTGCTGTCTCACACGTGTTGTCTTTCGTTTCGGCTTCCCCTTGACTTCAGGACCCCAGAAAACCGAACGAACCAAGACATCCGAACCACTCCGCTTCCGGGGCGCCAAACAGGAACGCAAGTTGCGTAGAGCCAAGTTCCGAGTTCTTGTTCTTCCGTCAACCAATATGCCCCACTTTGTTCCGTTTGTACAACGAAAAACTTATCCTGTTTTTGACCGGCAGCTCTCTCAGTACTACAGCATGTCCATCTGTACCCCGGCCCGAGCGGCGCTCATGACTGGTCGATACCCTGTTCGCTACGGATTCCAGTACAAAGTCATCAATGTGGGGGCACCGTGGGGTCTGCCTCTCACGGAGAAGGTGTGCGAAAACGCCTCAAAGTATCGTGGAACTCTGGCTCGCGGGGGGGGAAGGGTGGGGTGTAACGCAGCCTGTAAGCCTGTGGGAAGGACTATTTTGTAGAACGGTGTTGTGGCCTCGCCACATCGCAAGGTGAGCGAAGTCGTACTTTGTGTAATCCATTGCTCTGTTATCGGGAAAGGTTGGAGGTGGTTTTCAGAACTATGTTCGCTGGAGGTGGTTGGAGGTGGTTTTCAGAACTATGTTCGCTGCATGCAAAGATCATTGATACCCGCGCGTTGCCACACTACACGGGGCTATGATCACCTGTGCCGCATTTGATGTGATGTGTCTTGGCATTGCCGTATGCCGCTCCTCTGTTTACCTCTCTCTCTCACACACACACATGCACACAACTTTCCTCCATCTACCGGTCCATGCCAACAGCACACCATGCATCCTCTCGGCGCGGCACTGCGCAACGCGGAATTGACGTAGCATTCCATGCCATGACGTAGTCAAACCTGATAGCGTTGCCCGCCCCCCGCCTCCTTTGCTTGCGCGTTTTTTGTGCTGTTTCAGCTGTTTCCACAGTTCATGAACGACGCCGGGTACACGTCTCACATGGTTGGGAAGTGGCACCTCGGGTCGCACACGTTCGACCACATGCCCCACCTTAGAGGCTTCGAGACCTACCTCGGCTACACGCAGGGCAGAGAGACCTACTGGACGCACGAGGTGCGACTGAGGCGTTCATAGTTCGTACCAGTAGGCCTCTCTCCTGGCACGGGGTAATATGTTCGAAACGGAAGGACGAACATCCTCCCTTTCATATGCAGCAGTACCTACCGCGTACCATACCACGAGGTTTTCACAGCCGTGCACGGAAGGTGATGGTGGTGTGTTGTCTACTTGAACTGAGCCCGCGACTCCCGTTCTTCATGCGCAAGGTGCATGGTGCAAGCCTTTTGTTTTTCTTTCCTCTTTATGCCCCCGAATCTCATTCATTTGGCGAAAGGATGTAGAGTTGAGCGCTCTTGGCCCGCATTTGGCACGAATGATGAGTTGCGACTCGATGAGATGGTCGGTGTGACATTGCTCCGAGGGAGACTGTGGATTGCAAGACGAGATAGGATAGTTCTTTGTGTTTGATCGGAAACACAGCGTGTGCCGACACTTGATATCGGCAACTGCAAACGAGGAACGTGGAGAAACGGATCCTTTCAGCCTCCCGTGTGCCCCCCTCCAACCTACCCAAACTCGCCAACCGGTTTGCCAAACGTTTCGATTCGACGCAAGTCGGGAAGGAGGTCGGCAGACAAGATGCAGCAGGAAGGGCGATTTCGACTCAACCTAGCAAACTCGCTCGAAAAGTACCGAGGCCAGGAGACGTTCTAGAATAGAAAACAGCAACCAAGAGTATCGTATCGTTTTGTGTCTGATGTGTGCCAATATTTACGACACGGTACGTCATGTCGCTTTGCCTGTTTCTTCCTTTCTTCTTTGGATCATGATGACATTTCCTTCCCAAAATCCACCCGTTCCGTACCGTGTATACTTACACCTTACACGATGCTCTGTTTTCCTACTCCCCCGGCATTTTTCTTCCGAAAGAGCGACTTTTAGTCGACACCGCCGTTGTCCTTGCCGAAAAGAAACCACACCAAGCATACCCGCCACTGCCTTGCACCAGCGGCAAACAGATGCGACTTGACATTTGTTCGAGCAATCACACGTGTTGCTTTTGACTCTACTTGGTTCTCCTGCCCCCTTCGTCATCATGTCTTGGCGTCATTGTCAGGCCAACTGGCACTACCCTTTTTCGCGACGAGACTACCCGTACCAACAGCCCAACCAGGACGGCGTCTTCTTCGACTTCGGGTTCGGCAACGAAACCGGCTATTACGACGTGATGCAGAGGTCACCAGCCCCCCCTGGCGGCCATGGCGACGACTCCTTTTCTGCGCGCTCCCCCAGCAGTGCAACCTCGTCTTCCGCGTCCTGGTTGCCCTCGACCTCTTCGTTTGATTGGTCTTCATCTTCATCTCCATCTCCATCTCCATCTCCATCTCCATCTTTGGATGAGGTGAAGAGAGACTACTCGTCCAAGATTTTCACCGACAGGGCGCTGGAGGTGAGACGTGAGACGCGAGACGCGAGACGTGAGACGTGAGACCTGAGACGTGAGACGTGAGACGTGAGACGTGAGACATCCACCTCTTCTTCGGTGTCGCGATGACGTCGATCGAGCACGTACGTCTCCTACCGATAAGGAGACACTTTTTGAAGGGTTTTCGGTGAGCGTGGAACCCACATTAAAATGAGTTCCTCTAGATTTTCGCCGATCGAGCGTACACGAAGTTGCTCGAGGGGGGGGGTTGTCGTGAACGTGTGATAATAAGGGTTTGCGTCGGAATGCGTGGTACTATGATATGTAGAAAACCACGAATGTACCAGCATTTACTACACCGGACCTAACATCATCATGCGACAAGTTGCCGTGATTCGACCGAGGATAGGACAGGACAGTTACCCTACGGACCTTGTGCCACGCACACAAGTTATCACTCATACCAATCAGCATGTCGCTCCCAAGATGACGTACAGTATATTTCACGATGCGACCTAACGCGCTTGGCTTCTATGGTGTGGTGGCACGGTTGGTATCAGTCATGCTTGCCTACTTAGTTGAAAGTCTGTTGTTGTTATTGTTGTTTCGCTTCACAGAAGGAGGTAGTAATTCCTGTCGCGGAAAACGAGTGCTCGTTGCTCGGATAACTGTTCCGTTTGAAGGGACATGTACTCACTTAAACGATATAATCTTACCCCGACATCGACATCAACATCAACATCTACCGAAACCACGGCAGTCATATGGAGTGGTACGTGGCACACTACTGTAAAATTAGATGAGCGGGGCTGGCTGAAAAACGAAATGAAATGGATGAGAAGGCAATGATATTGCACCGCATGGCAAACAGGCAGTGCAGTGAGGGCCAACAGGATGCTGGAGGCACAGTACCGTACAGTACAGGAGCATAACACTTCCTATAGCATATCTCTTACAAGAAGGGAGTAGGGAGTCCGCCTTGAGGGGTCGTTGCCGCATCGACAGAGTGTCAGTGACATGTGGCACCGACGGGATGCGCTCTCGCCAGGGTGCATGGTTCCCTGGTTGACTGACCAAGCGAAACAACACCCGAAGCGAAGCAAACCGAACATGCCTGCCACCGCCGTGTTCCGCCGCAGATTTTGCAAGGAAGGACGCCCTTCGACGACAAGCCTTTGTTCATGTACCTCGCGCACCAGGCGGTGCACGAGCCCCTGGACACTCCTCCCGCCGGTAACTATCTCGAGATAATTGAGTGGACCATGAACTCCTTGTGACGTTCATAGGAACCGTTCCGAACGACTCGCGCCGGATGTCCAGCCAGGCGGTTGGTACGATTTTTATTTTATTCGATTTGATTGTCTGTGCAAGATATCGAAGGCCTTCAGCAGCTCTCGTTTCGTGTCACCAGCCCCCGTTTCGAGTCATGCGCTCAGGCAGCGCCACCCGAAGCTTGGGACAATACTGACAGCATGTTCGTTACCCGTCCCTCAGATGCTTTCAGTGCAGACGAGTTGGAGGTGCTGGATGCCCTCAAAGACTCGTCGGCCTCGCCTCTTCGCATCGACTTTGCCAAGGTAAATACTGTATGTCACCAGTCAGCAAAGGTGCCATGGTTTGGGACACGCAGTAGGACCTAGTGAGGCAGTACTTCACCATCCATCGTACCAATTTACTATTGTCGCTCTTTTGGCTGAACATTACGAGAACAGCTCAGTTTTTTTTTTCATGTTGCACCAAATCTGTCGTACAAGAGCAGGAATTCGTACCAATATTGCAGCAATCACAACAATGGCAACGACCGCAGCAATCGACCTTTTTTGCGCGGCTAACCTCGACCATCAAGTAAACGAAGAGAATCAATGAAGAGAATGCACAAGGCCACGTGACGAAAGGACAAGGACCCGTTGCCTGCTTGGTGTTTGTGCTGACATCAGCTGCGTACTGTACGCGCACAGGTTTGCGGGATTTCACGTTGTTAGCAGGGAGAGTAACAGAAACAGAAGCAGCTGGAAACTATCCATCGCTTGGTAGGTTACCTTTCGAGAGAGATTTCGAGACCGCTCGATATCCCCTTTCAACTGGACTAGGTTCAACTCTTTTGTCTATTCCATTCACCTCCTCGTACCGGGAAGCTGGCGAAAAAGAGTGTCGAACCCAACCTTCCGTGCCTTTCCTAAAGGTAAGTTTCATCTCTTGGCCCCTTCCTATAGTTAGGGTAGGTGACAAGGGAATGACATCTCAGGTTTTGTGTGTGGTATGTGCACCTTCTGTTCCGAGAATCTTTAATTATTTGTTGATAATTTTTCTTTCTCGAGAGCATCACGAGAAGGACCGGCTTAGTTGGAGGCATGCACCAGAAGGTGGCGCCTGCTCTCGTACAGCCGCAATGAAAAAACCGCGAAATGTGACAGCGACAGCCTCCTCGGCCTGCTCTTGCCTTGTCACCACCCAGCAAAGGTGTGCAGATGCACACATGGAGCTTCACGAGGGCATCCTCGGGATCGACCCGTCGTCCGAGGTCTCATACCAGCGAGCAAGAACGTTGAACACGTGTGTGTGTGTGTGTGTAGTTTGAACGCGCGACATCGCCCACAACAGAAGTCAGGCCAGGGCGCACACGCTCCGGTGCCGGACGAACGCACGTTCGTATGTGTAGCAGACATACAATAACAACCACCAAACCTCTGCGCGTGCCGCCTGTGTACCGGTCGCTGGTGGCATGTATGCACACGCTCAACGCTCAAGGTGTTGATGTATTTGGACAAGAGCATTGGGCGCCTGGTGGACTACCTCGAGAGCGAAGGTTGGATGGACAACTCCATCATCGTCGTGGCCAGTGACAACGGGGGCTGTCCCACCGCGGGGGGAAGCAACTTTCCGCTGAGGGGGACCAAAGCCTCCTACTGGGAAGGCGGTACCAAGGTAACGATTTCAGCGCCCGTACGGGGCAGTTGTGGATGTTCCGGGGGGGTAACAAGAACATGGTTTCGTGTGTGTGCAGATACTAATATATTAGAGTGCGGTGAAGAACACAATTCGTAGCAGCAACGTATCACTGAGTAGCTTCCGAAAGAAGAGTGTTTTGAGTTTCTCAGTTTGAGCGATGGCGAATGGATTGACGGGACGTACATGTCGGGCGTAAGGTTCAGCTGGCCACGCTGTTCATTTTCGCTACATGAACTACGGGGACCCGAACAGATCGAAATAAAGCTTGACTTTTTTCACAATTCCGTGTCCTTCCAGCCACGTCTTGTATGGGTTGGTCTACCTTGTTCGGAGCGTTGACGCATGCGTGTACCGCACGAGTGAGAAGTGGATATTTTGACACTAGGACAGCAGGACGCGTCTTGCACCCTGCTGCACTAGCTTTGAAGGCTGATTCAAGCGGTACCGTATATTTTCATTCATCCATACACGTGCACCGCCTTGCCATCCTGCACCGATACGTGCGTACACCATCGGGCATGTTACGCATGTCGGCGATAGGTGCCTGCCCTCGTATACTCTCCCAGCCACATCCCCAAGGAGCGGCGGGGTGGGCAGTACGACGGCTTGATGCACGTCACTGATTGGCTCCCAACCTTAATGGCGGCCACAGGGAGGTAGGTACAGATAGATGTGGCAAAACAATGCCTGGCAGATCCGTCAACGGCGTGTTTTTTTTTGCGGCTGTCCTTTTCCACACTGGAACGCAATGAACGAGGGCATCATGTTTCGGAGGGAGGTGTAACGTTTCCTCTCTGCCGCTGATGGCAGTGACAGAATTCCGAATGGGCGTTGAATGTTGAGCTTTGCGAGCTACGAGAACGGATGGAGAATACTGAATCCTCGTCGTGCACCTTCCTGTCCCGCAAGAGGAAGGAGCACGACACCAACTTAGGTAATTTCGAGACAGTTAGCGAGTTAGTCGCTAAGCTTGACCGCAACAAAGAGAGCCCCGAGACTGACCTCAAGGGCGGGATCAGCCTTATCTTGTCTTCGTCGCTCGCACTCAAACAAGCCTCAAACTCTCCTCCACACCCGGACCTTGATGTCGACACTAAATAGTGCCGCATGCATCCTTTGTGCCATGGTACTGCTGCACGTCATTATGTCTCGTCTGCGACAGCAGTGTTGTTGAGAGCCACCGGAACCTGGACGGCGTCAACCACTGGGAGCATATCATCGACGTCGACTCTGCGGGGTGTGGTGCCGAATGTGGCAGCAGCAGCAGCTACAGTCCCAGGAATGAGATGTTGTACAACTTCGACCCGTACTTCATGGGAGCGGAGACTTACGGACCGTGAGTTATCAATCCACTGCACCAAACACACGCGACAGCGACGGAGACTACGTCATCGACGTTGACTCTCAACAACGAACTTGGAACTTGCCAGTCACTGAAGGCGGGTCGTCAAGAGCTTCCAATTGTTGACGTGGACTTTTACAAGCTAAGGGATGCTTGGCGCTAGCCGCTAATTTTCTTGATGTGGTGTTATTTATGGTCTTGTCCCGATCCTTTACATGTATTCTCTCATTTTCTTGATCTCATGTTTCTTCTCTAGGCTCCCCGATCCCGATTTTTCCCAAGCTCAAGGTGCTTTCCGGCAGGGGAAATGGAAATTCCTCTTCAAAGTGTGCTGTTTGGGCCACTATGCCCCCGAGACCGACGTTTCGTTCGCGGTACGTACATCTTTCGCTAGCACTGGAACGAGTTGACAGGTTTATTGCTGATAATGTTCTGGCCATTCTTTGGACTGTTCTTCGGACTGTTCTTTGGACTGTTGTTCGGGTTTGGGTTTGGTTGAGGTGTCGGCGCCACCTCGCAGAAAGAACACTCCCTGAACGGTTGTGAGCCGTTGTTTCTGTTGATGTTGGCTTCGATCTGAAGTCTTCGTTCTCGAACCCTCCTTCTTGCGCACTTTCCAGAGTTGATCAAGAAACGAAACACGTTGTATCATCCTACGCACACAACGTCCTACCGCTTATGCACAAACACAACCGTGTCTGAAATTTAAGACTCCAGAACGAAACTAGAAGGCAGAGGTGAGAAATGGCCGAAAACGATCTGATTCGCTGTGTACATAGCCCATCACATGACTCTTCAGAGGCTGTGAGTCAACATCAAACAGTACCATGGATGCCCCAATATGCTTCATAGCCACCTGTTCCGTACGAATCGCATTGTGCTGGACCATCCTGTTCGTGTGCTTTCAGATTGCTGTAAGGCTGCAGGAGACCCCCTCTAAAACTTGTTGTTCGCGTTGCCACACTGGCTTTTTTCTGTGTCGAATGAACCCCTTTCGTTTCGACAGAACAAGATGGTGTCCGAGAGCGGGACGTGCCGTCATCACGCTCATGACAATGAGCAGTCAGCGGACGCAACCATGCCAAGAGATGCCCCAGACTGTTACGAGTATGGGTGCGTGGACATCTGCGTGGACACGGCCGATTGCAAGGACTGGCTGTTCGACTTGGAAAATGACCCCACTGAAGAGCACGACCTTGCGGACACTTACCCAGAGGTGATGAATGAGCGTCGAAGTCCATTGGTCTCTTACTCGAGCTCCATGCAGCATTGTTGCGGCTTCAACCGCTTGCTGGCGAAGGCTACTTTCGTTTTTCCCCTACGTGAGCAACTTCGAACCAATTTGTCACCGAGACTGGACACGCACGCTTTTTTGCTGTGCTGTGCACTGAATATATGTGCAAAAAATCGTTTTTTGTTGTGCCGGCTATTGGTTTGGAGTTTCATTCCTAGGTTTGTCTTTCCTCTCTTGCCTCATTCCCTAGCTGCCAACTGATTCAACAACTGCCGTTGTTCGTGGCATCGTGCGTCATGTGCAGGTTGTACAAAACTTGCGCGACCGCATGTTCTCGGTGGTGGGTCAGGAATATTCGGACTCGCTGTGGGCTCCCCAAGATATGACCGCTTACCGCATCTGGGAGAGTCACAACTATTGGGTGGTGCCGTGGTTGGAACCAGGACTGCGGTACCGGGTCGAACAGGGAGCGGTCGCGTAAATGGCCTCTGGCCTTTTGGTGTGGTGATGTGAGATGTTATTTCGGAAGCTGCGAGAGACGGAATAAGCTGTGGTTGTGTGCTGTTGATAGTCGGTGGTAGTCAAGAAGTTGTGGTATCACGCGTGTTGTACCTGCCGTGATCTAGAACTAGAGGCGACGGATGATTGCCGAAATTCTGCTTGAGATCGCCTCCCCCCCCCCCCCCCCGAAACGTTCCTGTGGTGGGTGCCTCCTGGAGCGTCCTCAATCCTCAAAGGGAGTTGCGGCATCCCCGCTACCTGCCTCGCTTCCGTCACGAAAACTGAGAATGTTACTCATTCGCAATTTTTAGATCGATCGCCGACGACGTGTTGTCGCATTCTAAAAACCAACATTCACTCTACAGCCGGGGGACCGATACAAGGGGGTCCCTCCCTTAGTCATGAACGACATTCACGATGTGGGATAGGTTTTCGGGCGGCGATGTGGGCTTTGATGAAACCCCGGTTGCCCACGTCCGGACCATTTGGTCTCTTTCGAAAGATTGCGAACGCACGGCGTGAACCTGACGCCTTCCGAAGCCGCTCTTGGCGCAATGAACGCCCGCATTTTCGGGTACACCAGCTCCCCCGAATTGTGACATAAGTTTAGGCTCTCGCCAAATGCAGACGCCCGAAAACAAGCATGCTGAGCTTGGCTGGACGGGATGGCCTCACGTTTATTACTTCCTAGCATGGCGAGAACTGGAACGAGCCTAGCGGTGTTGTTCCTCCTGGTCACCACGCCGGTGCAATAGACAGCTTTCACACGGACGCGTGCGCAATGGGTTTGGCTAGCTTGGTGGCGGAGTGCATGATGCATTTTCGTTGCTCGTGGTAACGTGCCAAAATATTCTTGTAGACCTCAGAAGGAAAACAACCCACAACGGAGATTTTAAGTATTGGAGAGACAGCTTGGCTATAAATGGTTCATTGGAATTGTTCATCTGCACCACCGCCGGTGGTATGCGGGGTAGACGCAGAACAAAAAAAAACGTTCCCGGCTAGATCCCCGAAAATCGGATCCATCAATATCTACGCATACAACCTGGACCAATCACGTACCTCCGCTAGCCTCTATTGTTTGCTGCTTGGATGCTTTTTTGTCTGTGCTCTACTTTAGCATGTCGTCACCGCTGGGCAGTCCCGTTGGGTCTTGTTCGAGTGTTCGAAGATGTGTCCCCGAGCACGCCATTTCGCCTCTTCACTACCACTAGAAACGTGCGGAGGAACTAATGGGTGCGAGAGAAGTGAGCGCCATGTTTTCGTTCACTGAGTGTTGGACTATTCCCCGAATCTATGATTGGGACCGTCGTCGTAGCAGGCATAACAGCTATCATGCGCTGCCACAACAGCCCTCAGTCTCTTGAAGGCCGAAATTACTCTTCAGCCGGGGCTCTTTGGCGTGCACGAACAAATTAAGGGTCGCGGATAGAGTCTGAGTGCACATGCACGGTTAGTATCACTTCCGCGCTGATGGCACCAAGCTATCATCCCAACTGGCGGTTCACAACAAATGTGGTAAGGTCAGCGGTGCACACCACTTTTTTTTTGCTCATAGCAATGGCCAAGTGAAAGGTTATGTACGATAGACTACGCGGTAGACAATTTTTTTTTTGCTCATAGCAATGGCCAAGTGAAAGGTTAGACTATGTAGAATAGACTACGCGGTAGACAACCAGCAAATCACCACATCAAGTTTTCAGCATCTGGTATGATACATCTTGGTAGTTTTGGGTCCTGTTCGGAGTGCAGAAAGATCTCTCAACCCACTCCCTTTTACTGTAGTCCACTGTAATCTCGTCTGGCCTGTGTGTGGACACACCTTCCACCCAACCGCTGCGATAAACAATCGCCCCTTCTTACCAACAATACGTCAGATGAGTCGATATGATCCACACTTTCCAAACTACAGAAGTACCGCTGTACCTCGTCTCGACAGCACTGCTGCTGTACATGGAAGCACCATGGAAGCTGGAACCCGAAACAGACGAACAGATTCCATGGAAGTCAATTTCGACTTCCATGGAGGCTTATTCCATTTGTCAAATAGTGTTACCCGTTCCATTCAACAGAGAAGCTGCCAACTATATTGCCCTTCTTTTTCGAGTTGGCTTGATGAATGTTTGTGTGGCCTATATGCATACGGAGGGGGACTTTTCCCGCACGACACCTTCCGCTCAGCGCAAAACCTCCCGACGTCTCTTTGCTACGAAAACACTAGACAATTTTGTATCTCCCTCCGAATCTCACCAGCCGGGGCGAAACCGTTGTACAGTAGCAGCAGTTTCGGACGGCTGGGCCTCTCAATGGAGTACAACCGCGAGCAACCGTAATTTTCCACTACTACTGCAACCAAGAACGTGCTTCGCCTCGCGCATAGAGCTGGGTGAATGGCCCCTATATCTCTTTACTCAAGTATTTCTCTAGGCCTTCTTTTGTCCGACCTGTGGGCGTCTGGCTTTCTGGGGCCGCTGCCTTGTCCTTATTTCGCACGTGTCATCCTTTAGTTTTGTAGCTGTTATTCGTATTGTTGAAAGCAAGCCGACGAATATCGTCGGCGTTGCTAGTCCCAAGCTTTATATTTTTATTTTAGTCGCGTGTTGCGCGTGTGCTGACACCACGAACGGGAAGGACCTTAATTAGCCGACACACTACGCAATAATGGTCGTGATGGACGCGGGTACGCAATAAAAAAACAACACATACATCCGATCCTCGGGAATCACGAAATGCAACGTCTACATACACACGGTAGGCACTCTGTCTGTCCGTACTGCTTTTGCCTACCACTCACTCTCGTCCTCTCGTCCGCATTAACAACAAACAATGCAACTTGCCGCACAACAAGAGCCATCCCTGCAGGAAAAGCTGTACAAACAAGCAAAAAGCAGCTCCTGCTGCTGTAAGCTGCTGCTGTATGTACCATTTTTCAGCACGCACGAACAACAGATACAGCACAGGCGAAAGAGCTGAGTCTGCCTGTCTGTGTCTGCGTCGGCGTGAGTAGGGGTGGGTGTGAGGTATCGATAGAGTAACGACAGGATGTTTTTTTTTTTTATTCTTCTTAATATGACACAACGAATCCATCTCCATCATACAAAAGAGTCTGAGACAGATTAGCAATGAATTCATTGTGTATGGCATCTCGACGAGTATCGTCGCGTTGCCTGTCTGAAGCTTTCGATTTTTGCAGCGGGTAACAATCAAGGTAGACACCAAGAAGACGCCCGATGAGCACACAGGAACCGGGGGACCCCAAAAAACAAAGCATGAAAAACAAAAGAAAGAAAGAAGCGAGAACAAACGAGCCAGACGCGACAGGCTTCAGGGAGGAGGCAAAAGAGCGCATAGAAGAAAAGCACCGTCGCCGCTCGCTCCGGACCGCTGGAAACTCTCACATAGCACTACATATGGAGCAAATATTAGGTAGGGCCCAACCAAGTCCATTGCTTGGCATAACGCCCATCGCTTCACATGCAGCAGCCGGATGCACGGGTAGCCTCTTACTCAGCAAAAAGCGAAACGACTGCGGTTGGTTGACGTTCGATGTTGTTGGGACCCTACCGGCGAAAGGCGAGAGAGAGAGAAAGAGAGGGAGACAAAAAGAAGAGAGCGGAGAGAAGACAAGGCATTGACTCTCTCGAGAAGAGAAGGCATTGACTCTGTCGAGAAGACACTCACTCTCGTCCCTCTGGCCCGCCGCAGGCTGTCAGACATGATGTCACGTTGTGTATCGAACGGCGATATCCGATGTCGGCTCAGCAACAGCAAACAAGCACAACCACAAACAAATATAGTCAGTCGCCGTGTGCGAGCTGTGGACTACTATCTTGTTGTAGGAAGTGAGAACTAAAAAGAGCACGACTACATAGCACCACGGACGAACTATTATCGCAATACGCTTGCCGTCCGCCATAGATGCGCACCGCTGCACGAACGAGCTGTTGGTTATCATACCTCACTACGTAGTATCTAAGATTGTGCTGCCATCTAGCTTACCTATCGCTCAAATTACGACTACGCAGCAGACTCAAGGCAAGGAAGCAACACACGTGCCGATGCATACCAACCATGCATGCAGCAAAACAAAAAAAGGCGGACCGTCTGTTGTTGTTTGTCTCTTCAAGTAACTGTGCTGCCGACAACGACACTGGAAAAAAGTAGGAGACGCGCATCGCCTACGCGAGCAACGCGTGCAGCCCAAAAAAACAGAGACGATAACCTTACGACCTTTCTTTTCAGCACATTCCGAGCATATACTGCAGCAACCGCAAGTAAGTATGTGTACAGCAGCAGCCGCATGTTGTGTACAACAACGGTCACTCAGGAAGAAAATCACAATAACAAACGCAAAAAAAAAAAGGTGGTGGCGCGCAGCACGCAGGACTCTCTTTCGCTGTTCATCAACCGGCCATTCCCATGGCGAAACAGACAAGGTACAGCAGTGAAGGCCGACTCTTGCCGGCCCCAGGAGGCGGAAGCTGCTCAAACTCGGGGACGGGTCATGATTTGCGATTGATTCCTCACCGAACGGATATCGAACGATGACACTACTGTTTCAATTAGCTTCAGAAAAGCTTCAAAATTAATCGTGAAACTTGCAGAGTCATAGACATGGCAAGTAAACACCCCGTTCCAAAGAATATATGTCGTTGATTTCTATTGACTCGCGGACCTTTCAGGGCCAGTTTGTTTTAGCGTACGTCTTTAGGGTAAGTTAGCCTGTGACCACGGGAATCGACCGCGTCAAGTGTTGGATCAGTAAGGACATATGAAGGTACTGGGTAGAGAGAGATCGGAACGGTTTTTAATGCGAAGACAACAACAACAACAACAACAACAACAACAATATTTAAAACTGAACTAATGGGTGGTGGGCGGATGACCGGCGGACCCCAAAAAGCAAGCTGAAAAATAAAATATAGACTATGTTAAGAAAAAAAAGAAGGGACGACAAAGACAAGTGAGCCAGACGCGACAGGCTTCAGGGAGGTGGCAAAAGAGAGCATACGAAAACCACCGTCGCCGCTCTGAACCGCTGGAAGCTGTCACATAGCACAGCATGCAGCAAACAGTATAGGGGCCATGCCCCCGTTGCTTCAAGTAAAGAGGCAGCGCCCATCGCCTCACATGCAGCAGCCGGGTACGTACTACACAAATAGCCTCTTACTCAGCA